TTTTTTTACAGTTTAACATTTTTTTACAGTTTAACATTGATTGTGACTTTATGAAATTCTATTCACTTCTCAAAATCTTGCATCTTCGGCTCGAAGACTGTAAAAACCTTTTCAGCACCACCAGTATTATAATGTGTGATATACAGTTGTGATCAGAACTTTACACTCATCATGGACACGAATGTCAATCCCCAATGTCATTTCTTTGATTTTGTTCAGCTGTGTTTTCCAGGGTGGAATCATTGTAATGCGTACATATGTTTTCTTTATTTATCTTTATTTTCTCTAATCCACACAGGGTTAAAATTAGATATGCAGGTCCAAATGTATGCATAGACTGCCACTAATATTTGGTCAAACATGCCTTAGCAAAGTAGACACTTAATGATTGTCATCAAGAGGCTTCTGGCATAATTGTGTCTGTATATTTGTGGACACTTCTTAAAAATAGATTTAATTTAAACTGGTTAGTTTCTTGGCCGGGATCAGGCTTTTAAACATACCCCACAATTGTTTCAGTAGGGTTGAGGTCAGGGCTTTGAGAAGAACATTCCAGAAGCTTAATTTTCCTTTTCAAAACCAATTCTGAATTGAATCTGTATTTGGGATCATCGTCCTGTTGGAAGCTCTTGAAGTAGAGCAGGTCACCTACTAATTGGAAGGTTGGTGGTTCAATTCCTGGCTCTCCCAGTCTGCTTGCAAATATCCTTAAGCAAGATACTAAGCACAAGTTGCTCTCAAATACATGCATTGAAGTGTGAATGTTAGATAGAAAGCTCTTTGATAGAAGAAAGTAGAACGAAAGAAGTCCATTTGATTTTGGGTGAAGTTGGAGAAAGTCCTTGTTCCATCCACTCTCTGCTATGAACCTGTTGTGGCGAATCCACTTAGCCAAAAAAAATGGATCGGACATCAGTTGTAGAAACGATATTCTTTATATAAGGCTTTAAAAAGGGGAATGTACAACAAATAAACTTCTCAACATCAGAGCAACATGTAATGGCTTCCCGAAACTTTCTCTGCTAGCTAAAAAACCCCAGAGTAACTTTCGTCTACCACAAAGGATTCTGGGAAACACAGTTTTCTAATGAAAATACCTGTTAAATGCTCTGTTAAAAATGTTAAATCCCCTTTAGCAGAAAATTAAATCTATAATTTACAGCTCTCACTAAACATGTGGCTAACACTTAAATCACTTACAAAATAACCAAAATGCTGTTATCAAACAATAAACTGCAATAAAGTTACAACAGAACCACTAAACTCTTGCAGCAAACCAACCCCAGTGGAAAGCCTCAACTTTACGCCTCCAAACATAAATTTCCACGACACTCTCGCCCATGATAAGTGTATGTAATTTGACCCAATACAGTTCCTAAAAAGAGTGCTTTACCACTCTTCACTTTCCTAAAGCATATCCTGTTTTAAAATGTTTTAATAACACATCTAACAACTAATGTCATCCCACTAACACCACACCACTCAGACAAGATACTAAGTGTCAGTCAAGTAAATCAGCTCTAATCACCAGTGCCTGAGGTTTAAACCTTCAGTCTCTGTGGATAGCACGGTAGCATGATCCATCAGTGTTAGTTTAGCTCTGTCAGGTTAACACTGCCACCACACCTCCTTAGTCCAAAGACGTGTATGTTAGCTTAACTGATGATTTCAAAGTGGCTGTGTGGAAGTGAGATAGATGAACACTTGGTAACAAGTAAGACTAGAAAATAGCTGTGGAAATACCAGACTGCTGTGGTTTAAATGAGACATTACTGAATTGCATCTCACTCCCAGACTCCATGAAGTTCTGATGGAC